TCATGAAAACAAAAGGAATTTGCAAGTACAAGAGAGCAGATAGTCAGAGAAAAAAGAAGCATTTGAGAACGTAATCTGTGTTATAAATAATCTCATATGAGATGTCACTAGAGTGAGCTTGTTTGAACTCAACTGGTGCTGGCCATATAAATGAATGGAAAGTGAATAATCAGTTAATAAAAGGGATTATTCAATGCAAGTGGGCTTATATCATTGATCAAACAGAGCAGTCAGTTTGAATTTCAAAAACAAGCCAAAAGATACTTTTCAAATTAAGAGACACAGTCTTGTACAAGGTTTTTGAAGCCCAAACCTGCAATCAAATTCAACAATAAATTGGATTTACATAGTATAGTTTACAGATAGTCTGTAAAATATCTTAAAATGTATTTGCTTGGATTATTCAAAAAGTAGGTTTCACATGATTAACAGAAATAAATTAAAGATGAAGAGGAATTTTGTTGACCTTTCAAAACAAAGCTCAGATACTTCTCAAAACAAAAGTGTAAATCTTCGAAAGGTTAGCTAATTGCAAAGAGCAAGCTGTAGTTTAAGAGGTCACAAAAGAAGGGAGAGAAATGCTGTAGACACTGATTTGTGATTTCAGGTCTGTGGAAATGGAGGCTTATGTTTCTTACATAATGTAAGAACAGGAATCAGCGTGTGGACAGATTATATGGAACAAAACGTGGATACGGTAACGCAAACTTGAATTGGGTGAAGCAGAAAATCTGAAAAAATACTGGTATGGCTTTTCAAAGACTAAAATCACTGATGAACAATCACCGTGTTGAAGGATGCTGACGTTTCCTGACAGCTTGTTTCGCCTGCAGATATGGAGGCAGACTTCAGCTGCGTCAGTGCTGCAGCATTTAAAATGTTGGCTGTCTCTCACTGAGCACTTATATGAGTAAATGTAGTCAGATGTAGGTAGTAAATAATTTAATATACTCAGTTACATCTTCTTAAGTAAAATTTTGGAGAAAATGTTTGGTCATTTTTGGAGTAGTTTTACTAAGGTGCATTTTGTTTTCACTTTTGCTTGAGTAAAATCATAAAGTAAAATTTTACTAAAATTTTACTTCAGTAAAATTTCTGGATCCTCAACATTGTGAGTAACTTCGGTGAAATTAAGGACAGGGTTACTTTGATCAAAAATTCACACAAAAACCTGAAGTTTGAACTTGAACATCAAAAGTTTTATATTGACAGAAATCAATATTTTTAAAAAAAAGTTACAGGAGAAGGGTAAGCTTCTCTACATGTTGTAATCCTTATCTTCTCTGGAAGAGATATCAGTGGTTTTCTTGTAATAAGGCTGGTTTAAAATAAGCAAACTCAATTTACACTAATTACCACAGGTCATAGGAAGAAGATGGAGAGCCAGGTCAAAATGACGATCTGCTAAGTATGATGAGGCACTTTTTATCCTCTTGTCTAAACCACTTAGCTTTGTTACGTTTCTTTTACTTGATAAACCCAGTGGGATGAAAAAGATTAAAAACTTGTTATCTTATATTCTGTGCGTCAACTAACCATAGCAAGCGCACAAAGAAGAAGCTACAGATTGACATATAGGAATGTAAACATCTTCATAAAGGTTTTCTTCTACACTTTGTGTTTTCTTGTTCTTGTATGACGAATTCAGGAAATTATTTGAAGCACTGCAGTTTCACTTAACTCTGAAATTCACCACATGGATTCTGATGCTTAGAAGAAATTTAGAATTTAGAAGAACAAAACTTCGTCGGAAAGACTGTTTAAAGAATCACAGACGTTTTCTTGTGGACTCGCATAAAAAAGCAATATGTCAGCAGACACAGGAATAAACGCCATCAAACAAGCCCTCCAAACATATTTTAATCATTAGGAGAGTTAGTGAGCCACCGACACAAAACTGTACTGTAATTAAATGCTATTTGGCAGACTCTTTCTGATTGTGCTGCATTGTATTCATGAGGAAATAAGCTTAACTATTTAAGGATGTCCGTAAACACCATTTAGACGTGGTGTGTGGTCTGAGCTCCTCTGAATCATCCCGAAACTCATAAAACATGCAGTTTTGCATCCTGATTTACTTCAAATAATCCCTCAATTTTTTTTCCAGATTCTCAATCACACTTTATAGAAGATGTGTTACAGCGTATCATTATAGGCAAAGCTCTAACGTCAAAGAAAATGCTCCTGACTTGGAAGCTCAGTCTCTGTGTCACTAAAGCGAATCAAATAAGTGGTGGGTTGAATTAGAACTGTGCTGCTTGTATTTCCTGAATATCCTGTGGTGTAGCAGGTCAAACTCAGCATTCGTAAAGTGCTGCTTCAGAGAAAGAGGCCGTCTGTGATCTGTGTTTGTCAGTCGATTAGAAGCTTCTCCACCAACATGCTGTGACAGGACAGAAATTAACTCAGAGGAAGGTCAAATTAAAAATCAGTTTTTCTGATTTTACTTTTTATAGGTAAATGTTTGAGTAAAATTAACATTGATTTTTTATTCTATGAACTTCTGACAAGCAGAAATTTAGTGTTTATTTGAAGAAAAAATGACAAAAACAAAGACAACATCATTTTCCATATGCCATATAGAAAATTAGACTGCTACTTGGTCTTTTTTCCAAGCTCTGAATGTGTCAAACACAATTTCATATTGTATATTTGGACCTGGATTTTTCTCCTTTCATATCTTTTATAGGCTTGTTTAACTGATAAGTCAATGTATGTACAAAAAGAGAATAATCTTTGACAAGTAACAGAATTTTTTAAATCTAATGTGTGGAGTTTTGTGCTTAGTTAAAATTTCAAAAAACGTGAAAACAAAATAGGTGAAACATTGTATTATAGGTATTATATGAACCCAGACAGCATAAAAACCTCTCTAGAGCTTGCTTGCTGTTGATCACACATAGAAAGACAAAAAACTAGAAAAGTTAGAAATCCAAAAACATCCAAAAGTTTTAATAATGGCTAAAATGGGACCTGTTTTGACAACCTGCCATCATCAGATTGTTACAGGTCTCTGACAAACTCTTATAAAATCTTATCGATATTTTTGGAGTGCTAGTTATTCCTATTTTAGTATTTCTTCAGATCAGGGCAATCTGCTAGTACTTATAGCACTTGGCCTGCCTTTAACACTATTAATTATTTGCAAGGTAAATTCAAACAAGATAACCGTGAATTAGAATTACTAACAGAGGCTTGAAATATGAGCTGGTTAATCACTTTGCTCATCAGGCACTTTGCAAAAGTGTGGAAAAAAAAAAAGCTTTTCCAAGTACAAACAACAGTTAAGCAGGACTAAATGTTGGTGGATAATTATGCTGTCTTACACTGTAGCTCGAACTTGGACCTGGAAATGACCAACCCTAAGCTCACCAGGCTCCAGTTCCCAGTTTAAAAAAGTGGGATTTGGAAATTTATGTCATAAGGAGTTCACACGTATACAATTTAAAAAAAAATCTCCACTCTGGAAGACTGTTTTTCTTATGAAATCCCTATTTGTTTGTTGACAGGAGATGCAGAAAATGTAACTTTTGCCTGGTATCCTTGTTAATGTGGACATGTTCTTGCGTCAAAGCTGCATGTCCTCAGGAGTCAGCAGCTTCCAGGGGAGGAGACGTCACGAGGTCCTGATCCGCCAGCCAACAACGGATTTCAGCACGAGACACTTTACAAAACCTGTGATAAAAATTAATCATATATTTCTTTCACATTTAGAATGAGACCAAAAATGTCATCAGTCTGTGACAGCAGATAAAATCTTCTCACTTGACTAAAGCTGGTTTCACATTCAAAAACCTTGACATGTATCGAAAAGACTCCTTTTGAAATATAACACAGGTATACATCATAAAAACGTTTTCAATTTAGAGATTTAGGGATCATATGTGGTTGTCAGACAAGTGCATTTCAAAGGGCCTTGGAGGAAAACAGTTTTTTGGGGTGAAATGTTTTGTGCTGTATTTTCTCTGCAGTTTGTGTCTCAGAATATTAGCTACGTGTTCAATAGAAAAAAGTTTCACAGCATCACTGAGAGTTTCACTGATTTAACGAGACAAAATCTGGGTGGAGAGACGGGGAGAGGTGTTTCACTGAAGCTCTAACCAACTGAGTTATTTATACAATATGTTTGAACATCTAATTTATCACTTCCAGTTCTTTATGAAATAAAGAACTGGAACTACATGTTTTTTTCTGTAGCAGTGTTGTTTGGAGTAGCTGCAGCATTTAATTAAGACCAGCTGGGAGGGAAGGGGCTTACCCAGTTAGCACTGCTTACAGGGACACACAAAAAAAAAAAAATTTATGAATTGATTATTTAGAAGTTAACACCTGCATACAGTGTGGCTCCGGCACAATTTTTTTTTCTCATAAGGTAAACTTTGTACTGTCACTTTTTAAAACCCTTATTAGATTTTTTTTAATTCATAGACTGTTAAGGTCATGTTAGCATTTATATTTATATTTTATGAACATAAACGCTGATTTGTGGCTTTGACATTATGTTTAAAGTCCTCCATAATTGGGGGTTCAGTTTACTTACGTTTTGAGCCACTTTTGTTTAAAACATCTGACAGCCATGTTCTCTTTACACATAATATTTGTTTTTAAAGTGGGGCCCTATGTTAGCTGGACATCAGCATAACTAACCCTTTGTGGGTTGTTGGGTTTATTGGCCCATGGCAGCAACAGCTGATTGTCCTGACGCATTAATTAAAAATAAATAAGTAAATAAATAAAACACGGGTTGGCATTGCGCAGTGGAGGTATGGAAAGCTCTCTGAGTGACTTGAGGTAAATGACTCGCCGCTTACCCCCGCGTCTTCCCACAGCAGCCCGTCTCCTCACCTCCAGCCGAACAGAAGCTTCATCTTCAAAGCGGAGCCACGCTCGCGGCAGCTGCGAGGGGAGGGGGGCGGAGCCTGCCGGGGCTGAGGTCCCGGAGCCTATCATAAAGTTAGAGAGTCTCAGAGTGCCGCATTACCTGCGCGCCGAGCCGCTTCACCTGGACCCGTCACGTGAAATATGACGAGGATTTTACCTCCGTGCGCGCACTTCTTCTTGACGAGCAGAGAGCTGATCTCAGGCAGGTTTTTATCCGAAGGAACGCAGCCGCAGCTCCGGGGACGCACAGGTAACTTCCTCGGCGCGGGGTTTTCATATGAATATATGAAGTGCTTTCACTGCGACTTTCTGGTCAGCCAGGGATATGATCTGCAGCAGCAGCAGCAGCAGCAACAGCAGCAATCTGCCTTTAAGGAGGCTCCTACACGCCTCAGCTCATGAAGAAAGGTGTTTTTGTTTTTCTTGTAAACAATAAAAAAATTAAAAAAAATAAATCAGATTATAACTTTAAGCAACGTCATAAAACCTTTATTGACTTGGATCCATAAAAAACGATTGATTGACGTTTTAAGGTCACGATCTAAAGCTATTTCTTTTTTTTTTTCTTGTTCAAAGGCCTCCAAAAACTATTAATATTTGAGAGAAGCAAATCTAACTAACTCGAGGTTATAGTTATGCACGAAACCAGGAAACATAATTTGGTTTTCAAAAGTTTCGGTGGAACTTTAAATCAAATCAAATGAAATAAAAAAACAACAAATCAAACTAACTCATTTACATTTCGTATGCATTAAAAAATTAAAAAATATATCCTGGGTCGAAATATGAGTTAATGCAAACTGCATAGAAGTAATAATGCATAGTGATAATAACAGGACGAAAAACAACCTACAAATGTCAAAATCAATCAATCAAATTTGTATTGATCTAATAAAGCTGTAAAAACAGGGGCTGGGTTAAAAGTAGCACTTTAAACGAAACTAAAATGCAGTGAATGCATGAAACATTAACAACATGGATGAATCTGAACGCATGTCTTCCTACTGACTCTACCTTATTGTTTTCCCTGCTACTAAATTCAAGTTTGCATCGTCTCTTTTCCACCCAAAATGCTTTTTTTCTGACAAAATATTTGCGAGGCCTTTTTTCTGACAAAATAACAGTTTATTTTGACTTTTACAAAGTCAAAATAAACTGTTTGTTGTTCAAATAATTCCTCATATCTTGTATTTTCACATCAGTCTGGACTCATGGGTCTGTTTTGTTTTATATGAATTCAGCTTGTATTACGAAGTGGAAAACTTATTCATGAAAGCCAGCATAGTTAATCTCCATTAAAAAAAATTAAAAAAACAATGCATCATTATCTGCAGAAATTTCGGATTATTTGTCCCTACATTTTCTTAAAATGACCTGTGCAGGCCGTGTCTCACCCCTGTAGACAATAAATTAATGGACTTAATTTACATTAAGTAATGAGTGCCGCTCATCAAGTACAAATCAAATTTGTCAATTTGATTTGTCAAAAATCAAATGATTGCATATCAAGTCATCAAATTACTGCATTACTGCAAATATAATATATTATTGAAGAATTGCTCATTGAAATATACCTACACATTTTAATGTTAATGTTTAACAAAAAAATGTATATCCATAAATTACTATATATTTAGATATGCACACATAAAATACAACAAATGTATTAAAGAAAATAAAGTTTAAGTAAATGTTTATCATTAATTTTCACTATGTGTGTTTTGATGTTCCACGTAAAGGTTGGATTCATGTATTTGATTATTGAGAAGGCACAATTAAAGATACTTTCAAGCCAATGCTAAGTATTGATACTCTTATCTTTGCCACATAATTGTCAATGCAAAGATGAAATATCTGTTCAGCTGCGCTGTCCCAAATGACCTGATCTCCCAATATAACTGTCTCCATCCTGAGGAGGAGAAAATGCTTTGCTTTACTCTGTCAGTTCATTTCTTTGTCAAATTCAGGTCAACGACTATTGACTCTTGTAAATTAACGCTCAGTTGTTGTTTGGCTACCCAGACAAAATGAAAAAATATAAAAATGTTCCTAAAATTTCCTGTCACGCTTTCTGCCTTTTAAAATAGAGTAAACAAAGAAAAAGCAGAGTCTTCCTTTTAATGTTTTTAGGGTGTAAACCCATGCTTGGGAATCCCGAAAATCATTCAGGATGTTAAGCTGCCATTCATATCTGAAGTATTTCTGCAATTAATCATACACTTAAGAGAGAGCAGGAGAGATCAGCACAGATTATAACTACATGCATGTCTGCGTCTGCATGTCACCAACTTAATCCGTTGCTCAGGTGTACAAAAACTTTTTTTTTCTTTTACGACCCGCCGTGTTTTTCAAGTCAACCTTGGTCATTCCAGCAGGAATTAGTGTTTTGTTTTAACATGTTACCAGAGCGCTTTACTCGAACATAGCTGCTGCACTGAGGTCTGAAGCGTTTGATTTAGTCAGAAAACTGTTTGAAGTTTGTCATTACAGACTCGTCTGAAGTGGCCCCTGCCAAACTCCGGCTCCACGCCATCCGTCTTGTACATTTAGGCAGGTTAAAACAAACAGCCTAAAAAAAAAACTAAAAAAAAACAGTTGACCCAAACGAGTTCCCACACACAGTCAGGGGTCAACAGATGGGATGTGATGAGACAGATAATAAAACTTGACCTGTGGGTTCAATAGGAAAATATCTTTACGTAGTAAAAACTTCTTGGACTTCAAATAAACCAAATTGGCTGTTTTTGTGAACCCAGAGTTCTGGCAAAAATAGATCAGTGCAGCCCTGGATTAATTGAAGTCAGCAGGAAAAACATGTGACATAAGGGCAAATGAGTTACTGAAAGACCCATCAAACTGGGTAGCTAAATAAATAATATTTTGGTTAGAATTAATTATTTTCTAAGTTCTGCAGTGAAAATGTTCAGAATAAAGATTTCTGAAAGTCTTCACTGATGTTATTAGCAGTTCCTTGGTTAAAGGAACTGCAGTTGTGTTGACAACTTTGAAAGTATAAGGCTGATATTAACTTAAGTGAACAAACTTGTTCTACAGTTTCAAATAAAATCATTAACATGACCCACTGACATTAACATTAATATACCAGCTTAATTTTACAATCTTTTTGCTTCAAACTCCCCAACTTTTATTCCGACAGTGTAAACTTACTATTATGGGATAAAGGAGAAACCCAGCAGTGTCTGTGCATGCAGTTCAATGTGCTTCAGGTTAACAATAATTTAATTAGGATTACAGCTAAAGGACTGGGCTTAACGTTTGATCCTGCACACTGAGGTAGGTTAAAAAAAAAAAGCTAAAACTATGAATTTATGAAGTTATCAATTGGGTTGAACAAAATAAACCAAAGAATTAATTATTTTTTGGTTGTTTTAATTTATGTACTAAACTCTAATAGGCAACATTGTATGAAATATTTTTATTTATATGGACCTTTCGAGCAAATTAGTCAAAATGTTGAACATGGCTACCGCTAGCCTGTCCCACCTACTTAGCACTTCAAAAGTGAAGATTACTAAATGACTTTAGGTTAACAAACATATTTTCTAACATGAACATGATTATACGACGTCATTTCACCATCTTATTAATTCTTATTTCATCCTGCAGAAAAGGTCAGTAGAGCCTGACCTTTCCTACATTGTTTGGTTCAAAATGGCGGACTACAGAGAATGATGACACTCTGTCCCGTCTCCTCTCAATCCGGATAAACGTTTTCACACAGTGTTTGCCCTTAAACCAGCCAAATTTCGTCACCAGCAGGATAAATCCAGCATTTGGATGGAGAAAATAACCCAGATGATTTAGTGTTATCGGGCTGACAGAACATTTATTACTACAGTTGCAGTCCAAAAGGTGTCATGATTGTTTCAAAGTTCTCTGAAAACTTTTGAGCAAAGAACAACCAAGCTTACATTTTCCAGAAACACTGAGCAATCCGGGCCTGGATTCATTTGTAACAGCATGAATGGGTTATAGGTTTAATTCATAATAAAGTGTCAAGTTTTACACCTCTAAAAAATAGACTAAAGAGACCAATAGAGTGAGGTAAAAAAAAAATGACCTGGATCACTGATATCTGGTTTACATAAATTATTTTTAGCTTTAATTATGTACCAACAACTCTCAGATAATACAACGTGAATTAATCTGTCTTGACTTACTGAGCAACTAATCAAATGTAAATGCTGACTATATCTCGCATTAGCTTTAATATCTAAGAGGTAAAAGGTGATTTTTTTTCTTTTCATTTTTAATTTATCTGAACAAACCTGTTCTTTGGCAAACAACACCCTGACATTAAAATGATCATGCAGCAGCATTCTTATTTCCTCCTGTGGAAGAGGTTTGGTGACGACTGATCTGGTAGCAGTGTAATTCAAAATGGCCGTCTGTAAACAATAACGACTCTCCTTCTAGTTTCCTCTTTAACCCAACAAACTGGGTCACAATTTTAGACCAAATATTTGGTCTTGCAGCAGCAGTCGACCAGGATTTGGGTTTTAGATTTAACCAACAGGTTCCTGTTTGCAAATCATTAATTAGTTGCGAATCAAAACCTCGTGATGATTGCCTCCAAGTGTATAAGGGCTTTTGTTAACGACTGGACTTTAACATGTAAGTCGCAGTTGGAAGCACACATTAAGCAAGAGTCACCAGTGCAGCTTGCTATTCAGCGTTCCTCCCCCCATGCCGGGCCTCCGTTCAATGGCAGACTTGTAAAATGGCGTCTGTGCTGAGTCTTGGTCGGGCAGGTTTTATGACCAGAGAATTTTGTGCAGCTCTCACACTCCCCCGGGGCCGCCCTTTTGCCAGCTGTTCCCCTCAGGAACCAGGGGGCTCTGCCAGCCTTTCACTGGACGAAGGAAGATGCCGCTGTCTTCGTTTGTTTACGGGTGGAGCAGAGGACCACGTAGATCTGAGCATCTTCAAAAAATTATAGAGTTAAAACTCTTGAAATAAGTCACCTTGACCTTTAATAGCAGACCTTTTTCACCAGAGAGATTCCGAACTAATTGTTTTACGATTTCATTTAGAGTAGAAAGTAGCTCTGAGCTTTAACTTAGCTTTGATCCTCTTTGCTTTACTTCAGACAGCTGATTGAAATCTTCTGTTAGGAGTCTCTTACTTTACTGACACCTTCTTGTAATGGTTCTCTCCATCGGGCAGCTTGTTGGGTGACCTCATGTTTTTTTTTTACAATGTGGCATTTCAGATATGCATTGCACCAAAACATCTCCAGACAGACACCAGACGACTGCATTGTTTCCTGCTGTTAAGATAATTGTAGACATTCGTGATTAGAGTACTGGAAGTCAACACGATAGTTTTGTGCTGGAACCTGTTTGGTTTTATGTCCCGTTGGCTCCTTCTCATTCACCTACACAAACATGTCCAATTTTAACAAGCTTTGTGTCACCTGTAGATAATGGATAGGCGCCTCCTACGGTACGCAACATCTGACTGCCGATGACGCCGCCGAATTGGGCGCAAACGAAAATTCCTGAGCCTTGTTGGGGACAGGATGTGAATTTAGAACATGTGCCCATAATTATACACATAAAGTAATTGTTCTCGTGTTGTTGTTGGGCTCCTATTCTCCAGCTACTGAATGTTGTCAGTTCACAGCTGTTGATGCTTCCTTCGCCACCAGTGTGTCAGAGGGAGGGCGCCTTACACGTCTTCTTCCGTAAATTGCCTAGAGGGCTGTTGTTGTAAATTATGTGATTCACACACACTCACACTCACACACACACACACACATGCAAACACACACACATATATATAAATATATGAAATACTTCTTCTGTCTACTAGGATTTATCTCCACAAGCCTCAGGGATGTACAAATAGGCTTTGGCCTGCAGCCATACCTCCCTGCAACTTCTTCCTCTACCAAACTGTTCTCTTGTCAACACTCCCTCTCATCCCCTCCCTTCATTTCTGCTCAATTTTTTCCCCCTGCTGCTGCCTCTGCCTCCGTGCCGAGCCAGCGATGTTGTTTTCTTTGCGCTCGTCTTTGACGGTCCTTCATGGGAAGTACCTGGCAGCGGATGCATGTGGCAGGATCTTTGCCTGGACACGTCTGTCTCCCCCTCTCGTCTGTTTCCACGGCCACGCAGCGTGAGAACTGTGGCATCTATGGTAACGGGGGAGGTGTCCTCAAAGTTCATAATTTAAGAGCTGCAAACAGGGTTTTGCGAATTTAGCTTTGAAACGTTTCGTTCCCAGCGTTTGAGAGACTAAAATAGGTGAATGAAAGACTGGTTCAAAGATGCTTTTTTTTTTTTTGTCTCTGCAGGTTTTCTTCTCACTGCTGCCTGAAAAGACACTGATCAACTCCTCAAGCAGCTGACTTAATCCTGAATCTTCCACCTGCACCACCTGCATTCATGGCCCACCCTTACGAGCCCTGGTTAAGGACAGCACCATCTAGTGGCAGCTCTGAAGAAATGAACATCCCGTCCTGGTGGGACCTCCACCGCGATGTGCAAGCCGGCAGCTGGATAGACCTGCAGACTGGGCAAAGTGTTGGCGTGCCCTCAGTGAGCACTGGCAGCTCCATGGGACTGCAGAACTCTTTAGGCCCGTATGGCTCCGACCCACAGCTGTGCACCATGCCCCCAGCTCAGCACACCCCCTCCTCACACTCGCCCCACCTCTTCCCGCTGGACGGCTTCAAGATGGAACCACTGGGACCTGAAATGCTGCAGCAGGAAACCTTCTCTTTGGAGGAGCCGCAGGAGACCTCTGTGTCAGCTCGGCCCAAGCCCCAGCGACGGTCATCCTCTCGGGGCGCCGGGCAGACCATGTGCCGGTGCCCCAACTGCATCCACGCCGAGCAGATGGGCCAGAGCGCCGACGACAGCAGGACGAAGCACATGCACAACTGCCACATCCCTGGATGTGGCAAAGCCTACGCTAAAACCTCCCACTTGAAGGCTCACCTGCGCTGGCATAGCGGCGACCGGCCTTTTGTCTGCAACTGGCTTTTCTGCGGAAAGAGGTTCACACGCTCTGATGAACTGCAGCGCCACCTGCAGACACACACCGGTGCCAAGAAGTTCAGCTGCGCTTTGTGCCCGCGAGTGTTCATGCGTAACGACCACCTGGCCAAGCACATGCGCACCCATGAGTCCCCGCCGGGACACGGGGAGGAGAGAGTAAATGGGGATGGGAAGGGTTTTGATGCACCCACACCTCCACAGTCGGCGTCTGACAGCACAGAGCCTCAGCTGAAGCTGAAAAGTGAGATTGACCCTTCGGTTTCAAACGTGACAGGGCAGTCTGGCTAATTTTATCACTTGGAGGAGATGTTTGGTAGTAAGAAAGTTCTGTCCTCTCTGTCACAGAGGGAGAATAGTTTTATAATAGAGTAGAAGAACGGTTTGGACACATTATTACTGATGAAAGCTGGATGGAAAGTATGCAACTCCTGTGGTAGTGATAGAAGGGATGCTACAGCACACAGAAAACACAGGGTTGTATGCGTTGCGCAGCTAAAACTCTGCTCTGTAGATTTTAAAAGGAATCAAAGGAGAGCCAGAGGTGCAGCGTGCTGCTCGACCCGCCAGCAGACCAGAGGACGGACATGAGTCCAACTGAAAACAGATGTTTACGTGAAACTTGTTGAACATGTTACTGAAAGTGACGAGCAGGTCTGCTTCCAACTTTTTTAAAAAGGAGACAATGATAATATTTTTTGTTTGTATTTAATTTCCTGACTACATGAGTGCAGCCCACTGTACCAGGAGACAAAACGTTTTTTTTTCTGTTGAGAGCACACAGATTGAGAGACATTTTTTGTTTTATTGTGATAATATAATATAATATAATATAATATAATATAATATAATATAATATAATATAATATAATATACAGTGCCTTGCTAGAATATTCATAAATGTTGAACTTCCATGTTTTGTCTCTTTTCACCCACATTCAATTTACTGAATTTTCTTTGAAAGAACTACAGGAGAATTAAGTTTCTTTCTAAGTAGAAAGAAACTATTCAATGTTTTTTTTTTTAACATTTTATAATTAATAGTAATCTCAATAGTGTCACATCTAGTTGTATTCAACACTTTGTAAATGCATATTTCTGTGCAGTTAGAGCTGTAGGTTTTGTGGAGGAAGTCTCTACCACCTTTGCACATCTGAAGACTCAAACTTTTGTTCTGCATTCATTCTGCTTCGCATCCAACCTAAAACTCAGGTGAGATGGAGTGAACAGAATTTTTCTAGCTCTTCAAAATAGGATTTAGACCCGTACTTTGACTGGGCCATTCTAGCATGTTTGTTCTTTGAACTAAACCTAAACCATTGTCACTATGGTTGCATGTTCAGAGCTGTAGTTCTGTTGGAAGGTGAAACTCTGTCCCCGTCTCGAGACTTTTGCTTCTTCCAACCAGTTTGCCTGTCCTGGTTGAAGAAAAGCTTCCCATTAGCATGATGCTGCCACCACCATGATTTACTGTGGGGATGGTTGGTTAAGGTTGATGCAGAATATTAGTTGCACACATGTTGTGAGTCTAGAGAAAGTGTTTAATTTTTGTTTGCTGTGTTTCCTACGTCGCTTGTGGTATGAATATACTTCCCGGGCCATGTTTCTTTCCACCTCGTACAGAAATAATCGTCTGTACCACTGATTATTTCTGTCTACTGTGCTATAACCTGCTCTTGCTCTAACCCTTTCCACCATTGCATCCTGACCTTTCTTCTGTGTTCCTTGGGCTTCATGATGCTTTTGTTCTCTAGCAGACCTCTGAGGCCTTAAAATGACAGTTATTCTGTGGTTAAATAGGAAATAGATAGACTCTGTCTACTCATATGATTGCAAAAGTAGTCATTAAAACTTGAATTTATTTAGTGGTATCATAATAGAGGGGTAGGACTGCAATTGTACTCCATGTCTGCACTTTTCAGATGTTACTACATGAAAATATTTGAAAACCAGGCGTCTTTCTTTATCTTTCAAAATTATGCACTACTTTGTTTTGATTTATCACTTTAAATCACACTAAAATACATTAAAATTTGTTGGTAATAATGTGACAAAATGCCGAAACATTATGAATGTCTTCGCAAGGCACTGTATGTATAACAATTTGGGCATTCCATGCACTATAACAGCTAGAATGGGCCAAAAATTATGTTCCTTTTTCACCTAAAGAATGGTGCTAAAAGACTTGAGAACAAGAAAATGTGAACAGGTGCTCGAGATGAAACAAACCAGAAACAGAAGAGCCACTTCAACGACGTGAAGAAGTCGAGACCCACAACAAACCAAGACGTGGACAGAAAGACGCCGTCTGGTTTGATGAATCCAGGTTTCTGTTGTGACATGCTCAGGGACAGCAGACACATCTGGAAGCAGAGCACAAAAACAAGCCAGCCGCTCCGTCCTGATGACACTGCAGGCTGCAGGTACTGAAAGACACGTCCAACGCGAAGAAGCACAAGACTCTGAGCTGCACTTGACAAGTTTGTCTTCCTAACAATAGATCAAATGGTTGTGTGTAATGTGAAAGAGGTAACAGTCGTTGAGTGCGATCACCTACGTCCTCTGCACTTTGCCTCAACATCGACCAGTCCATTTTGTCTCTGATTTACTGGTTTAAAGCCCACTTGCTCGATTTATTCATATATGCAGTAACAGATATTCAAATATTTATTAAAAAAAAAAAAAAACTAATTATTGCCATGTAGCTCCACCTTGAAAGAAAACAACTGGCCCAATTGGCCAGTAGTAGTGCTGAATACTCATACTTTTGAGTATTTATTGTGATAATATAATATAATAATAAATACTCACACTTTTGAGTATTTAGCACTACTCATAAAACTGAGCAAAGGAGTTAGTTTGGAGATTTAAAAGGAAAAGCATGATGATGAAGCCCTTTTTTGGAATTAAATATGTCTCCAAATGAGTTAGAATGACATTGTGTCTGGTAGAGCCCCACAAGTATTTTCTTTTCCAACAACTTGTTGGAAAAGAAAAACTTGTTTCTTTTCCAACAAGTTGTTGGAAAAGAAAATGTTTTTTATAGATTATTTTTACAATTTTGCTGCCCCCTGCAGGTCAGTGATTTTCATATGCATTCATAAAAATGTAAAGAAAAACTAGAATACCGGATGACTTTTCTTTTTCAGGAGTGAAACAATTAGGTTACTTATATTTGGTTAGATTGTTTTAAATATCAATGTTATATGATCAGTAGTGGTGTAGCTTTATAGGATGTATGCAATCCATCACAAATTACAGGCAGATTTCTACATTTTTAGGGAGCTTTTGATGATCAGAGACTCACAGTTGTATTTATGTATAGAAGATACATTAGAAAAAAGGGCTTAAACATTAGTCAATTATTGTTCATTGACTAGTATTAATGTTATAAGTTGTTGATGTTTTTATAGATAGACTTATTTTATTTTATAGACATTTTCTAATGGTTGCTGTAGTTGATGTAACAGTTTTTGGAGAGTGTAATTGAATAATTTAAATACCATAATGATTTGTAGTTAATTGTTTACTGTCCCTCATTAATAAATCGGATAAAGAAATGCACTAAGTCTCTGTGAATTTTATTTATAGGTTAAATGCTTGTAACTGTTGGAAAACCAAATCAATCTACTTTTATTTGATTGCTTGTGGATGTTTTCTGATTTTATCACTTTGTTTCCGGGCCAGTTCACTTGCAGGATTACTCAAAAACATAGGATGCTGGATCATGTCTAACTTTTAGACACCCTGTAGACTGTAGTACTTTTGATTTATGAAGATTTTATTGAAAAAAAGATAACATAAAGTATTTTGCCACCCATCTCTGTTGTTGAATTCAGGTGTTTCAACGACTTCCAGGTTCACATGTGCATGAAATCCAGCAGCCAGGCACGCTGTTAATTTCTATAAACCTTACTGAAAGAGTGGGTCACTTTAAGGAGGTCCATAAATTCCTCCATGGTGCCATGTGAAGATGCCTCATCTTCAAAACGACTAGTCCTAAAATGTGCTGACAGCTAAATAGTCTGCTGAACTGTTAGAGATAATATAACAAAGTGAAAGTGATTGGGAACAGCAACTCATTTGCCACAAAATTGTGAACTGCATAACATCACATTTGACAAAACAGTGCAAATTGCACAGAAGTCTTTTTTTTATTTATTTCATGTGGCTTTCAGATTAACTCAAGAACTGTGTGTGGTGAGCTTAATGGAGTGGTTTTCCATAGCTAAGCTGCTGTGCTTAAGCCGTACATCACCAAGTGTCAAGTGTCAGATGAAGTGGCGTAAATCACACAGCTACAGGACTCCAGAGAAAATGAGACAGGTTCTCCGCAGTTACGAATCATGCACTGGTAGTTCAAAGGATGACTCTCGACGACTTGAAGTGAATACATTGTGAAACAGTGCTAAAGTTGGACTTGGCTCAGTTCAACACAAAATAAGTCTAAATGCTTCAGCTTGCCACAATGTGATGGACAATTCCACACTCCCACCTGTATGGAAAAAGTCTGGAGGTGCCTATTTTAATAGGATTTTGCATCAGTGCAGAAGGCAGCAGCCAATGCCATATAGTCATGGAAGTATCTTTTGTGGCAGAAGTTGACTGACAGGCACCTTCACCTCAAACTGATGAAACACAATTGGTGTAAATTTGAGTGAAGACAAGCATTGCTTTCTCATCCAAGAGTAAAAATTACAATTGCACTTCTGGAAAGATGGTTAAAAAAAATCCCTTTTGAAAAGTAAATGGCTAATAAGTTGTGTCCACCAGAAGAAGCAGTAAGATGACAAAACACAGTGCTGAGATCCCAGAAACTGAAGCTATAACAAAACTGAATGATTTTTATCTTATGTTGGACAATTTTTGTAATCTTTAAATTGCATGTCAACTACAGTTAAAATTATTACAATGAAACCATAGTCCTACTTTTATTTAGTCCTACGTATTGCCCTGTAAATTGTGACTTTAATTACATTTAACATCTTGACATTTGAAACGTATTTATTGGTTCAAAAAGAAAAAGTGTATTATTTTATTTATTTATTTATTTATTTTTATTATTATTAGTTCATTCGTGACTTCAATGACCTAACGAGAAAAAGTAGGAACAAATTTTTTGTCACTGTTGCATTCAGGAGGAATAATTTGTTGCGCCATGTTCGAAACCGGAACTAGTCATTCAAAACAGGAAATGAGGAGCTTGACGGACTCCATTTTCTAGCTATCGTTTGAGATTTTGTTGTTTTACGTTTTCTTTTTGAGGGACTCCTTTTGTCCGTCTTGTTTTCTCTTTAGATTAAAACCCCAAACTAGAATCCAAGATGGGAGGCGGAGATCTGGTAAGTTTGATTCAAACACGGAGAAATTATGCTTCACGTAACAGATAAACCCAAAAAGGCGATAAAAATATATAATTTAAATGTAAGCCTCTTTTCTTGCGTCTGCAGAAAGCAACGAGAGAAGCGGAAAATTAGTTTTGACTTCTCATGAACTATTTTTAAGTTTTGCGAAATTAAATTGAACTTTGGTTTTGTTAATCTAACATTTAATGGTCTCAAGTGAGCTAAGTAGCCAACGTTTTCCAGTGTGCCACTTTAACAGATATGTGAAAGTAAAATTACCATTATTACGACAAAATAAAGACCAAGAAATACAACAGTCATGAATTGGCCGTGTACTCCACAAATATTTAGACAGTGACCCTGAACCTTAAAGCCGAATCACATTGGAGTTGTGTTAGAATGGCTCAGTCAAAGCCCGTCCCAGTTTAGAAACTTTAAA